AGCTACTGGAGAAGCACTTGCTTTTATTTACGAGCTTGGTTCGGAAACCAGGCCAAGCTTTCGACTTCCAAACCATCAGCAAATAGTGGAGGTATGTACAAATATTTCAGCCGCGGCTAACTGAAATTTATTTATTGCAGATCCTTGATGCTCTATGTAGCGATAGTTCCAAAACAAAGGCGAAAAAGGACAAGAGAGCCCAGCGATTTACATTAAGGTAATCATTTTTGTAATTTCGAACGAAGGTTTTATTAGATACGTTACTTTTCGTTGCAGGCAAGTGTATTCGAGCATAGTGCAGAGAGACACGCCGTCTATAACTATCAAGTTCAATAAAGAAGTACTTATTTTGGACTCATGTGCTTCGAAATTGCTTTACGACATTTGCTGTGAGGTAGGCAGTTTCTCTTGCTATATTGTAAAATGCAACAAATCTATAATTGTTCTCAACATGGTACAGTATGAAGTAGTTTAGGGAAAATCTGAATTCCAGCTACATTTACTTTTGTTTTGTTCCGGGAGACGTTTAATCGACAAGTATCGTTTTGCAGCGCTGACTAATGCTCTACTGAACCATAAACATGCATGTGCGTCCCCTATGTGGTTTAAATGCTTTTGTTTCAGCTTCTTCGCGGTGGTATCGTAAGACAACTGCAGTATAATGAGCTGCTGCGGGATCTTTTTGACTTGGGTCCGGTTCAGGAGGTAGACCCGGTGGAGAAGATCAGCAAGCTGGCCAGAGTAAGTTTATGCTTCTCCAGCTGTAGCATTACATCCTGTTGTTTTAGATGGCAGCACTTGATGCAGCGTCCAAGCACAGAAATCAAATGCGCGGCAAACAAAGGGATAAACGAAACGTTGTGCTGTAGGCCTGTGACTAATAATTAGTTTCATATTGACTTGATTACCAGACTGGATGGGTACTTCTGACTCAGCTTCTATAATTGAAAAGTACTTTTGATTTGATTCGGCTCCAGTCTGGTTTAAATTTGAGACCTCTAGTTCTTGGATTTATACCATTTTAGCTTTTGTATCGAATTCTCTTTTGGGATAGCTTACTATTTTTACTGAGCGCCTTGACCTTTACCTTACCCTCATCCAGCTCTTGGCTAGACATACTGGATTTGCTGAATGTAGATATTTTTCTTACTCTCAATATTGATTAGAAGCGGAATTGCTAGAGTAGTTGTGTATCATCACGAGGAGACCGCTGATTCGGCTAGGCCTCTTCACTTGTACTCTCGATTGCATCAATAGAGCCGGATTCTTTTGATGTGATAT